GAGAGAGAGAGAGAGAGAGAGAGAGAGAGAGAGAGAGAGAGAGAGAGAGAGAGAGAGAGAGAGAGAGAGAGAGAGAGAGACCATCCACTTGCGGTGTCTGCCCTTAAACCATGTCAGGGAGCGACAACAATGGACGTGCGAGTGTCGAGCAGGGCCCACAGCCAAGCACGAACACACCGACTGCAGGCGCGGGGCAAGTTCCAGGCTCCACACCCGGAGGAGCGGAGTCGGCCCCATCTATGATCGGAGCGCCGTCACCAACGACACATACCGAAGGGCTAATGGTGGAAGGCGGCGGATGGGGTCCGCACCCGGCTGCGCCGGACCAACACAACGGTGGATGGGGCGGGGACCCGACAGTGGGTCCGTAGGGATGGGCAGCCATCGCTGCCACCTACACACACGCAGAGCCGTGGACGGTTGGGCAGCTACAGCCAAATGGATATCTCTGGTCTCTGCCGACCACTGATGACGACGGCGGTTCCAACGGCAACAGGTGCTTTGGAGAATCCGACGATGAAGGCGAATCCTGAGGTGTGGTGAAGGGGATGGACATGGCGACTATGTCGGAGTTTTTGTTTTTATTATTTTTTTGCACCGGTTTTACGTCTTCGTTTTTTATATATATATATATATATATATATATATATATATATATATATATAGAGAGAGAGAGAGAGAGAGAGAGAGAGAGATAGACGACTGTGACAATGTGTTTTTTTCTTAAGGAATCAAAGTGTGGAATGTCAATTGCAATGGAATTGCGGAGTAGCTTTGGTGATCGAGGACATCATGTGTTATGTGCTTGTTACAACCGAGAGAGGAAGTTGATATATATATATATATATTTATATATAGATAGATAGATAGATAGAGAGAGAGAGAGAGAGAGAGAGAGAGAGAGAGAGAGAGAGAGAGAGAGAGAGAGAGAGAGAGACGACTGCGACAATGTATTTTTTTCTTAAGGAATCAAAGTGTAGAATGTCAATTGCAATGGAATTGCGGAGTAGCTTTGGTGATCGAGGACATCATGTGTTATGTGCTTGTTACAACCGAGAGAGGAAGTTGAGGTTTCATAAGGGGTCTGTCCCTCCCTTGACGTGCTTTAGCAAAATTGTATGCAATTAGGGTTATGGTTGTGATGGTGTCGGCAACCGAATACCAACGTCTTTTGATAAAAGCCAATGATTATTGTGCGATGAATGAGAACATTTGTACAATCATGAAAGAAAGAACTTGAAATCCTTTTTTTTTTTTAGCTAAAAAACTTCTCCTCATTTCGAAGAAATTTCAATGTGGAAAAAAAAAATGACATTGTAATTTCAACATTTTATATTTGCTCATAATGAAGGTGAAAAAAGTGCTCGAATTTTTGTCTATTCAATCGCATTGCCCCCAACGTTCAGGTAGGATAACGACAATGAGTTGCACACATCATTGTTAATGACCTCTCAGATTCCTAACCACTACGACTTCTGTTTCAAAAACCAATGTAGTACATAAATCAAGCAATGTATATTTAATGTACAATGACATTCCATAAATCGCGGAACGACGAAGCGGACAAAAGAACCACATTCAAAAACGAATATGCATACAAAAAACACGTTTCAAACAAAATTCAGCCTCCGTGGAGGCAGTATGTCCGCCCTGACTGCTTGCCTGGGGCGGTCCTGACTGCCCCAGGCATCCTGATTGCCCCAGGCAAGCAATCAGGGCGGACATACGCAACGGTCCCTTCTGGCCCACCCTCCTCAAAACATGGAGAAGTCTCCCCCTTCCAGACATGACAGCGCCAGAAAGATGGGAGGAAGTAGCACGCTAACCCCTTTTTGGAAACAGATGGGTGGTGGACTTGAAGGGTCAGATGCTCCCTTGCACAGATCCCCCCTGGCAGAATTGGGTCAAGAGAGGGATAATAAGGATAAAGGATATATGAGAAACTGATAAAAAGGACCGGATAGGACCCGGGACCCCCGTCCTGACTGCTCCAGGCAAGCAGTCAGGGCGGACGTACGCAATGATCCCTTCTGGCCCACCCTCCTCAAAACATGGAGAAGTCTCCCCCTTCCAGACAGGACAGCACCAGAAAGATGGGAGGAAGTAGCACGCCAACCCCTTTTGGGAAACAGATGGGTGGTGGACTTGAAGGGCCAGATGCTCCCTTGCACAGATTCCCCCTGGCAGAATTGGGTCAAGAGAGGGATAATGAGGATAAAGGATATATGAGACACTGATAAAAAGGACTGGATAGGACCCGACCAGCTACGAGAGAGACTGCCGTACTGCCACCGACCATACGAAGCCCTGGAAAGGCTGATAGAAATGATCTCACTAGCATGGTGGAGAATACTCCGTAAGGGCCCAACCTTGCAAGAATCAAACTGGGTAGCTATTAGAAATCGGCAAGGATGTGTGGGCAGGGTAGTCCACTGCCCCCCGGATGGAACGGTAGTGGTGCATCTCTCGCCAGTGAGGTAAGACAATGTCATCCAAGAATGCTCACCAGACAAAGCGTTAACATGCCAAATAGAAGAGGTATACAGAATCAGAGTACTCCATGAACGTCAGCAAAGGATAGCCTACTACCCCCGTACCCCTATTCATCGTCTAGCCCTAGACTCGTTGGAGTGGTCATGGTCAGCCCAAGAAAGGCAGGGCAAGAAATTCACCAAGTCCATATATGCCCTAATAGTCAAATCAGCCTACAGGCTCCTAAGACCAAAAGCTGCTCTACGGGACCAGGTGGAGGCGCGGTGGAAAGACCACCTAAACATTAGCAAAGGGGAGTTGAGATCAGTTAGATGGTTCAGGATGGCCAAGGCAAAGCCAGCCAAGCTGGCCTCACTTCAATGGCAGCTAGAGCACCGCTATCTTCCAACAAACAACTGGTTGATAGATAGAACGTCTCTGGAACAAAAAGGGCGACTCTCCCATGGTGCAAGTTGTGCACAAACGCGTTCCCTTCTCGGAGGCGACCTGAAACAATTGAACATATATTCCTCCAATGTCCAGGTGCACTCTGGCTGTTGAGATGGTGGGACAGGGTGTGGGAACAACTAGGAACAAAGGCCCAGTGGCCCTGGGACTGGAAAGCCTTATTGTGTGAAGCCTGGCCCAAAGACCAGCTAGACCAGATAGATGCATTTACCGGAAATATGTTCAGGATGGGACGGCGGGCGATTCTCTAGGCACTTTGGAGACGACGCTGCACCTTCGAGATGGAGGGGGCGAGATTGGAAGGACCCGAATTCACAGAAAGTGTCCAGCAACAGCTCCAGACAGAAATAACTGCAAAATGGAATGGAGTCAGAGCACAAATCCAATTTCTCAACTTACGTAAAGAGATCAAACAAAAAATCCAGGAATTTAGCTCCAGCTGGCTTGGGGGTGCAAACGGGGGAAGGATAGGAATGGTGGTCCTGGTGGAATGGAATGGAGGATACACAATACCAAGGGAGGACCAACAAGGAATAGAGTTAGTAAGAGACTATCATTTGAGGTTCCACGAATGGACCAAAGTGGATGTAGCGATCCCATTGAAACCCCCTGAAGCATTCCCGGACTTCTTCCCCCCCCCATCTAATTGTCTAGTGGAAACGAAGTGGTACGGAATGGACTCTGCATAACACTAAGTCAAAAGAGAAAGTTTGGGTGCTTAACGGGTGGGAGGGGAGGGGGAGGGACTAGTTTTGGAATAGCAG